AGTCCATATATGTGGATTTGCGACACGTCACCTTGTTGATATAGGCGCGTGTCATCCATAATATTGACTGAGATTTAACTAATGTCTACCCCACTAGCACTGTCAGTTGAATATCCAGATTCTAAAATGGATGCCAAGCAGTCCCTGGACTAGAGAGAGCTTTTGCTGTGAGGCCGGCCTCGGACGATAACGATGTGAGATCATCGCAATCTAAGCGCTCCATCGCGACCATTCTAACCAAGCCTTCCTTTTATAGGACATCTTCACTAATGTAAATCCTCTATGGTGTCCGCTCGGACTGAATGCCGTGTTTGGGGGCGTCCTCATGTCTCAAGCCCTTAACGCGGTAATGCAGCGAGCGTCACCTTCCTTTGTCGTCCACAGCATGCATTGCCAATTTATCAAGGCCACCCGGGTTGGGACCCCTGTTTTTTATCATGTGAGCCGAGTGAGTCAGGGCAAAGCATCCAGTGTGTACATTATATCTGCAAGGCAAAATGATCACGATGTCTTCATCGCAACCGTGAGCTTTAGACGGGCTTCAGCTCCAGTTGGGAATGTCTTGAAACATGCAGTTCCAAAGCCTGAATTAGTGTTTGATGACGAGACGCAACCCCATCGCTATGGTGAAGGCACTGCGAGATCTCTGTTTGAGTTTGAAATGGCAACGGCTACCATCGGTAAGCCCGAGAAACGATAAATATTTGACTTAGTGCTAATTTGTATAACCATAAAAGGTGACTCCAATCCCGAGACGAAGTACTTCAGACGCATTGTTCGCGCACAAAGTAGCTTGGCTAAACCAAGTGGCAGCAACGAGCACTTGCTTGCCCTGGTATGTATGACAGATACGTATACTGCTGGAACAGTCGGGAGAGCCCACGGTATACCAGTATATACTAGATTCAACGCCGGTTTGAAGGACGGGAATCCTCGAGCACAGGTGGCCTTCAAGACACTGTCCACCGTGGCTCATACCCTTCACTTTCACAACGTGGATCATGTCTGCGTCAACCACTGGATGACAGAAGAGCTGCATTGCCCTTGGGCTGGACACGAACGTGGCCTGGTAATATCACGCGTATGGTCATCAGATGGAGTCTTACTTGCAACTTGCTCTCAAGAGGTGAGCAAGAAGCTGTTTTACTAGCCGCGGTGTTCATTGTTCCCACTCTCAACTAACTTAGAGGTGCAGGTTCTAGTTCGACTCCCTCAGGACAATATCCCAGCAAGGATGTAATGAGCATACCTCAATGTCCACTTATTTGTACATTTTCATGCAAGTTATCCCTGGTCGATAAAATTTCTATCTCTTTACGTGCCTCCAGCACGTTCAGGTGGCCACCATAATAATAATAGTGGCAGTGCGGCTAACTTGACGACCGGCAGCACAATCGTTATCGGCACATGCTGGTTGAAGATCGCCGTTATTTGTGTTCCTGTAAACAGCTTTGCATCCTGGCAATTAGATTTGCATGTAATGCGATGAACAAATAACTACGAATCTTTTGTCGAGAACTAAGGGGGCGAATAGTATCCCAGCATGACCTGCACCCCAGCTAAGAAAAGAAAAGATGTCAATACTGCGCTACTTGAGCATAGCTACCAAGTTCCCAAATGGTTTCCTTCGGCCAATGGTGCTTCGATCCCTCCAACGGTGCTCTCATCAGGGCTTTTCGGGTTGAATCTGACAGTCTGAATATCTCTGGAAAATGCGGATGTTAAGATATTGTACACTGCAGTAAATGTCCTTCTGGTATACTACATGATACTATTGTACTTGCAATACTCCATCAGCATATGTTCATCTCATTCGAGTCATTGGTTGATTGCAGGCCCCGACTGCGCAGCAATTCTATATGAAAAACATCGTTTATCTCTTGACACTGTTTCTCGCCACAGGAGTTGCCAGTATGCTTTGAACAAGCTCCCTCCACAGAGAACTATATTGCTCAATGAATCTGGAAAGCAGCCAACCATGCCGAACAGGAGATTAACATCATCAGTTGAAAGGTTAATCCAGAACTATATCTAATTGGACCTCACGCCCAGCTTCAATGTCTTAGACAGACCTTAGTGCCGTTCCGAGAGCACAGAGTCAAGGTGAGTGCTTCCTCCCACGGGCCAGGATCCCTGGTCTCCAGAGTTGAGAACTGCTGTGCCAGACGGACAGTAACATATGCGGCTTCGGTCAAGGCATATTGTTGGCCGATGCAGATCCGAGGACCACCGTTAAACGGCAAGTATTCCCATCCTGGGCGCAGATCTGCCCAGCGCTCCGGACGAAACTCATTTGCGTCAGGTCCATATAGATCATGGCGACGATGCATTGCCCACACGCTGTAGAACACGATGGTACCCTTGGGCACGAAAACGGGGGATCTCCCGTTGGGACCGCCACCAACTGGCAGCACAGTATTGCTCAGTGCTTTACGAGAATTTACTGGGACGACTGGGTGACAACGAAGCGCTATACACAGAACGTTAAATAAATGGTGAACCCTGCTAGTTGATGACAATGCATGCGTTGGACACTTACACTCATTCAGACAGTGTTTAAGGTATGTTAGATTCCGAAGCTGCTGGTATGTGGGTGCGCGACCGTTCAGAGTCGCAACCTCCTCGCGCAGCTTCTTCCAGATGTACGGGCTCCTAGCCAGCATGAAGAACAAATTGCTCAGTAGTGATGCTGTGGTATCACGGCCGGCAAGGAGAATGTTCATGAGTTCATCACGGATGCGGTCGCGGTCACCTGTCTGTTCAGCCAAACCCTGCAAGAACAAATAGCGGGTATGCCTTCCCTCATCGTTCGAGCCCTTCTTGGCATAGCCTTCACGGTACTTGAGCGCCTTATCGATGAACTGCTCCACCAGGCTATGACAGATACGGTTGGATCGCGTCGCCTTGTGGTCGGGAATAACCCGCCCCAAGAAACCGAGACGGGTGTTCCTAGCAACAGCATGCTGCGCATAGTTGAAAGCTGAAGCAAAGTCATTCTCACTAGGCACCACACCAGACAGATGTTGATTCAGGCTTTGGACACTGTGGCCAAAGAGAAGTTCAGTGGCGGAATCGAGCGTGTAGCAGAAGAAGAGATCTTGCAGGTCCACGGTTGAGCCATCTGTAGGAATCAACGCCAACAGACCTTGCATCAACTCCTCAAGCTTCTCTAAATCCGCGATCTGGTCCTTGACGAAATTGGGGCGCACCATGGCGCGGGATTGAGCCCAGTGCTCGCCATCGGAGGTAAAGATTCCATGGCCTAATAGCGGACCGAAGGTCGCGATACGACTTCCCAGACCATAATCTCTAAAATTGAGGGATAAGACAGCTTTTAGATTCGCTGGTTCGCAGGTTATAATTAAGGGGGTTGTGAATCGCTTTACACGGAATGTATTTCCGTACCGTTGGAACCGGTGTTGGATGAGTTGGAGGAGACGGTGGGATTTGGCTGCTTGGATGTTCTCCAGAAGCACATCGATGCCGAAAAGAATATTTTTCGAGGCTAGCAATACAGGCTCACATCGATGTGCTTTAGCAAACTGTGACTGTATCCATATACATCGCAATTTTCTGACCACGCAGAAGAAGAGAACAACAGCAGCTCCAACCGCTATCGTCAAGATATGGGTGTTGTTGCTTTCCATAATGTTATCGCCTTGACAGTCGATCGCAAAGGCGCTGACAGTTATTATGTCAAACCTGGTCGGACCGCAAAGCCGCAAGGGCATTCCACATTCCTGGGTGATTATAAGGGAGAGCTGAGACAAGCATGCACACGTGAGAACAGCAATCAAGGGTTCCGGCAGAAGGCAGAATTTGGAACCTCCTTGCAGCTGAAAACGCCTGTAGGAGAGCTTATTACTGATAAAGTGCATTCTCAGTCAGACCTGACCACCGTATTAGTACAGTGCATTCGTATTTCGGTCCCAAACTTTAAAGTTGGAGAACTAGAACAAACATTCATAATCGGAACTTAGACGACATTATCTACCATTACCAGTAACCCTATTCATTCATGTATGGAATGGTTTATAGTGCATTGATTCAAGTTCCGGGTTATGGTGGGCTAACCCATCACACCTAGGGATCAACCACCGTCGCGCATCCATCCCTTGTTGACCTATCTTCGCGACGCGTAGTTTATATAACACCATACCCTTGCATCGAGGCTCTCCTGACTATCGCTTCTCTAATATTCATACCCTTGCTGCTCACTCGCGATCAGGTAGAGAGCTGACAACATTTTCTACACTTGACTAGTTTACATGCAGCGTTTTCTGCAATTGCGGCTACTTGCATATGTACTACAAGGCTATGACTGCATAAATAGTATATTCAAGATTTATCACTACTCTCTCTTCAAGCCGAAGTTGGATGTTGCTACTGGCTGATCTTTGGTTATACTTGGATGTTTGAAGTTGGAATGTATGTACCACCTTGGTATGTGAAGAATATGGATTCCGAATAAATAAACAAATAAAAATATTGATAAATCTATTGCAGCCATCCTCATTGGAGTTAGCTGGCTACGAGACTGTACTTGTTGTTATAGTAGAAGGGCTTTGCCTGAGCATAGTAGGGGCCGTCATACAACCAAGTTGGCTTTCGTGCCTTGTATCGCTCGCAATAGTAGAGAAACCAAATGAATCAACCCAAAATCAAGTCTGTTGTATTATCATTTCGAGAGTAGCCCAATTTTCCCCTAATGAAACTTGGTTACTGATAAATTACAGATAGCTTGCATCAGAAGAGGAAGTACTGTCATGTGTAAGCGTGCTGACGCGGGTGGGTCGGAAGGAATGGAGAGAGCCATTGAATCCCTCGTGGCGTACTCACTAGCTTCCAGCAGGATAGACTAACATCACCGGCATAATCTGGATTATTAACAATGCTCTGTTGCTTAGTTCATTATTAGAAATCAGGTTATGTGCAGTGATTGTGATATATAAAGTACACAGCTAAATAGGTATTGTGGCTAGAATGAGAAACAACTCCAAGCAAGCTCAACTACAGTTTAAAACACCATGTCTCAACCTAAGCCTTCAATTGTGATTGTCCCAGGAGCCTGCGCTCTACCTGAACTCTACGATCCGGTGACTACAAGAATCGCAAGCCAGGGTTACGATATCCACACAGTCCGGCTACCCAGCGTGGGCCCCAGCGATGGCCCCCTCCCAGAGCCCGGTACCATGTATGACGATGCGGCGGCGATTGCGCGTGAGATTAAACGGCTAGTGGAACAAGGAAAGGAGGTCGTTGTGGTGGCGCACTCGTATGGCGGGACGCCCGCCAGCCAGAGCATCCAGGGTCTGATCAAGAGGGAGGGCAGTAAGGACGCTGGTGGGGTGATACGCCTAGCGTATATGACGGCCGTGGCGCCTCCCGAGGGTAGGTCGACTGCGGACGTATTGGGTAGTCTTCCTATGGACATTTCCGTCGATGACCAAGGATGGATGAGTCTCGTCGACACCGCAGCCTTCGCAGCCACAGCCTTCTCCGATATGCCCCACGACGAGGGCATGACATGGGCTCGACAGTTCACACACCATTCAGCAGCCAGCTTGGCTAATGCCTTGACGTATGCCGGGTACAAGAATGTCCCCGTCGCGTATTTGCTGTGCACTGACGACTTGGTTATCTCGCCAGACGTGCAGCAGAAGATGATCGATACGGTTGCAAGCGAGAGTGGGCGGGAGGCAGACGTGACAAGAATTCCCACTGGCCATGTTCCCGTTGCAAGTGCTCCGGAACTCGTGGTGGATTGGATCTTGAAAATAGTTGGCTGGGAGGAGAAGTGAGACAGTCGTTGTGGAAGAGCCCAGTGTTAATTAGGCATATGAAAATATACAACTCTATGGCGCTCCACCACCGAGAAAAGGGACCTACATCGGTGTTTAACAATCCATATGTTGAACTTGAGCATGTAAGGGGAATCGATGTGTCTCCCAGGTGACCCTAAGTATGCCTCTTCCCCGAGTGATATTCTCCTCAATTCTGATTGCCCAGTGCCATAATGGTGTCGTACGGGACTTATATCTCATCAAGGGCTCGGTGTACAAACTGAGCAGGAACCACAGCAGCCAGACTCATTGTATATTGATAACTTATAGAGCCCTTCATAAGAGGGAATGCTCGCAGGCATTCCAGAAGCCCCTCGACTTCCTGAGAAGACACAGGACAGCTGAAACTGCTGGACTGGGCCTCAGACACCTCACGGTGACCACGGGACTTGATCGCATTGCCATCGTCGATGATGGTCATGTTATGGAATTTATGGAGCCCAGATATCTAGCATGTAAAGTGACATTTGTGCGGGAACCAATCCCCGGTTTATGATTCGACTTTCCGGGGCAGATCCGACATCAGCAGGCTGTTGCGACCTGGTCATCAACCTTAGCAGGCCCTGGAAGTCGGTCTAGTGAATCTTATGGCGCTCTTACAATTGCGCGTGTTAATGGCGCTGGATGGTAAAGGCATCGATGTGCAGATCCACGCTTTCGACAACGTGAGCACGTAGGCTGTGCATGATCAACAACGAACCTTGTCTTTGCGATAAGGCCCACAGGATGCGAGTTTCCCATTGCGTCGTCGGGAAGACCTATAGATTAGGTTTGCCGTGGTAACAGATGGACCACAAACATTCTGCACAACCACTTGCACTCTCCAGGTTACAGGCGTTCTGTTGGTCGTGGGACGAGGGGGGTTTGCTGATGAACATGTGATCCCGATCCATGTTCGCTTTGTAATTATTTAGTCAGCCATACGATAGAGACAGTTAGTTAACTAGGTTATTAACTAACTGAACACTTAACAGACTAGTTACATAGTACTAAATCATCATATCTAGCAGCTTACTGACCTACTGTGGAAATTCATCTATACTTCTAGACCCGTCAGATTGTTGTGGCTCACCTTACTTCAGAATTACGTTCCACTTGATGGAACCCGACAGTGGAACCCTGACGGGGCGATGACGGCACGAAGCCCTGGCTCCCCCGAACCTGATCGGAAGCTATCCGCATGCAAGGCAGTCAGGGGGTTTGCCCCCGTCGTAGGTGACCACGGCATCTTGATTCTCGTATTTTTCTATTGAAGGGTACTAGCACGCCATGGCAGATGCTTCAAATTCCACAAGTACCTTCACCCTTCAAAAAGCCGGGGCCAGCAGTGTACGATACGCTCCCCGCTAGAGATGCGGAAATTCAGAGCTAATCCCACTATTTATCAACCCTAGGTCCTTGGATCCAAGCCAACTCAAGAAGACAGGTACACCGTCCTTCTGCCTGACGAACTTTCGGGCACACGGACAGTCTGGCTTTTTTTGCCGTATATGACGGACAGTATGGGAATCACATCACACCTCTGGCAAGGTAGTCGGGACTAACTTAGGGAAAAGTGCCTCAGATAAGGTTGCAGAACATGCAAGCAAGAATATCCGTCGGCTTCTGACTATCAGTAGAGAGTTGAGGCAGGGAAACTATGAATCAGCCATTGAACAAGCGATTCAAGCAGAGGAGAAGGAGCTTCTGCAAGGGTTTTGGGCTGGCGAGGAATTATTCGCCATAGCCGGATCGACTGCCGCCCTGGTCGTCGTGAATCTAACCAGGGGCATCTTAGTGGTCGCCAATCTGGGAGATTCGCACGTTTTGCTGGGAGAGGCCGACGGGGCAAATCACACGTCGCTGAGAGTCGTATGTAGAAGTCACAGGCCTGTTTATCGTACCCGCGTCCTCTAACTGTTATAAATGAGCGATTAACCACATCCCACAAGCCGGAACTTGCTGGGGAGAGGCATCGCATTGAGTCCACCGGAGGAACTCTCAACACCGAGAGCGGTGTGCCACGAATCGGCTAGTTTATTCTCGTCCCATATCGCACGAGGTTGCGAACCTAACTTTTGCAGGGGGCTTGAATATATCGCGGGCGCTGGGCGAATTACAGTATAAATTGCCGCTAAAGGATATCGGGGAGCAATCACTATCCAGCGGCCAGGAGAAAGCATGCGTCGAACCAACAAAGAAGGGGGATTTAGTCTCCAGTTACCCTTCTTTCAAACGATATACTCTGCAGTCGGATCGTCGGTACTTCTTGGCTTTAACCACAGATGGGGTAACCAATACAATGGATGACGAAACTATCATGCATCAGATCGCAGGGAGCGAGCATGAGGGAATGGATGCTGACAGAGTGGCCGCGAAGATCACCGAGAAAGCTTCAAAGGCACCCAGTAGTGACAATGCCACCTGCGTCACTGTGTTCCTGAATGGGCACAATGTACGGAATCAAGAGTAAATAATATAGGCAAGGCTGGAATTCGCATGTTTACTCTCCACTTCCCATGTCGATCTTATTGGGCATTCCGGGATATCTTGGCATTCCCGTTGACGCCCACTCGTTTAACGAGTCGTAGATCACCGCTGCCGCAGCACGTAGCATCCTGCAAATCTCATAATTACTACCTGTGCTACGTTGTAGGCTCGTTCCTTCTATGGAGTGACGGCAGGACCCACTATTACAAAAGTATCGAAGGTCATCGACTTTGGCTGTCGCATGTGGCTGGATGCGGCTAGAATGTCAGGGTCCGTGGTTCAGATCAATGACCTCAGCGGATCAAGCCAATCATGGAAGCAAAGTCATCCTTATCTCGATCGAGCAATCATAGCACAATATTGCATCACGGAGTCTCAAATGCGTTCGACAATCAGGGTCTTCCTATTGGGGAGTTTGCACAGTACTACATAAATAGCCGCTTGGCCTGCAGATCAGCGCTGAATACATCCGCCGTTTGGACTCACTACATATAGACTACCCCATAGACTTTGCTGCTCGTTTAGCTCTGCAAGATGTTCGAAAGTGCCGTGTCACCACCCCAGGTCCGTGGTCGAGTAACTCAGGTTCAGACAGTCGCAAGACCAACCGTTGCGACCAATATCATCGATATCCGCAGCGATAAAGCAGAGACACAGCTCCGCCATTCGCTCGAAGAGTCCATCCATGCGGCCTGTCACGGGGAGGCTGCTATGCCGGAGCTTCTCCTGTGGGATGGAAAGGGACTACGCTATTTCGAAGACGTGACATATGCTCCATCCTACTACCTCACCAATGAAGAGATTGGTCTGCTCGAGAAGCACAAATACCAGATCGCAGAACACATTCCGTCTGGTAGTATGTTGGTCGAGCTGGGCAGCGGGTAAGCGTCCAATTATCTGTAGTTCAGTGGCATCCGCACTGACTGAACAATCAGAAACCTCCGCAAGATCAAGATCCTTCTAGATGCTCTAGATGAAATGGGTCGGGAAGTGGACTACTTCGCCTTGGATGTTTCGTATCAAGAGCTCCACCGGACTCTCAGCATCGTGCCCCCGGGTACATTCCGCCATGTCCGCTGCTTCGGTTTGCTGGGAACCTACGACGACGGCCGGGACTGGATGCAATTGCCCGAAATTCGTTCGCGATCCAAGACTATTCTCTCCTTGGGATCAACACTGGGCAGTTTCCAGCGGCCGGAGGCAGCCGACTTCTTAGCTAGCTTCGTCACCCCCGAAAGTAACTCGTCACTGCTAATTGGCTTGGACGGATGCAAAGACGCCGATCGGGTTCTGGCAGCCTATAACGATCCCGAGGGGATCAATCGGCGATTCATCAAGCACGGCCTTGAACGCGCCAACGAGATCCTAGGGCCGGATACCTTTGATCTCGACAAATGGGCTGTCATTGGCCGCTGGGATGCAGCGCAGGGAAGCCATAACCAGTACTATCTCCCTTCAGAAGATGTGTCTCTGGTAGGCGAAACCATTCCGGTGGGCCGGAGTATCTTGGCAGTCAAGAGCCACAAGTACGATGCTGATGACAGGGATGCGTTGTGCCGGAGAGCAGAATTGGCTGTTGGTGATGCATGGGTATCGAAGAACCAATACAGTAAGTCTATCGCCCTTAGGTCCTTTTCGAAATTCGACAATCAGACTAGGTTCCCCTTCCTGTGCAAAACAGCTAACCCTATTCACAGATTTACTATATCTTGAGAAACCGTAGGGCGTCACTTATGAGCCGGAAGCATGCAGATAAGCGAATAGTTTAGATATGGCTTCGGGAATCAGATAAAACCTCCCAGTCACTGCTCTAATTACCTAATAATATCATAATATACGAGTGTTGTATCATCCAGGAAACTGAGTGAGAACACTGCAGGCTGAACACTGCGAGTCTCACTATCTTGTAAATCTGATTCTTAGTTACGCGTGGCTAGCCAGGGGCCTTATCCTGGATAGGATGTTATCAAACCGATCGCCTTGGCCCAAGTCTTGAGGAGGTTAGCATGTATGGTTCTAAAGAGCATTCGTTGATTTACAAGCCTACATTTTTCTTGTTCGATCTCTGCTTCCTCGGTTTCGTGATGATATCTCTGAAAAGGCAGGCAGCTCTGCTATTTCAGCTTTTGCGGAGGCTTCCATACATAGATCATGGAAGTGATCAGCAGTGTAATCAAAATTGTTATATCCTTCAAGTTGCTGATCAACAATGTCACACCCTTCCGGCATGTCAGGTCGAAGGTTGATGAGCAGGACAATAGCCGCAAAATATGGATCATATCCACATTTTAATTGATGAGCCAGATCAAAAGCCTTCACGAAATCCTCAATGTATTGAGAAACAGTAGCGTACTGGCTTCGACGTATGTTGTAAAGCCTGATAGCAAATCCTTTGCATTTCCTGACTACCTCGTCCAATACTACGCTTTTGATGTGCTCGTAGGTTTCATCAGCATAATAGATCTCGGAGACCTTCCCATATAGCTTCCTGCATATCTGTGGTGAGACTTGGCCAAAGAGCCAGGACGAGATAGAATATACTCCAGTCTTCCCACGGTTCGTAGCCTGGAGTATTCGGGGCCGGTCGGGGTATGTCTATGTCAATAGATTCAGCGCAGACCATCGTTTTGAGCTTTTTGGCTACCTGAGATCGCCAAATGTCATAATTTTCAATGTCAGTTAACTGGTCACGGAGGTCCGAAATCATAGCAGGTGGGCTTTCAATTAGGACTAGCCCATTCTGGTAATTGTGGTCCACACCCGGTGCTGATTGTCGTCCCCCAATGTATGCCATATTATGCGGGAGGTCGGTCTAGTCCGCGGTCTGCTTGGCTCTTTTATGGCGTTGCTTGTGGCTCGGAAGGTCGGTCAGCTGCAGGGGGTCTGCAAGATGATGGAACTGACGGAATCGGCGTATCTGGCTATTTTATGAGCTAGTCGAACTCATAACCTAGCAGCTATTATAGAGGGAAAACATGGAGACTGGAGAAAGAAGAGGTGGCCTCGAGTCATGTGAGGACCATCATTCACACTTGGGATTTTACTGAGGAATATTTTATCCAATGGTATTTG